CAGACAGTGGGGAAAAAAATCTTCCTTTGGACCAATCCTACAAATGCCATGGTTTTCACAATGATGCTGTTCCTTATCTTTGTCAAACAGATGGCCTACACTGCAGTGATATTCTCCAAACTATGTGCTACATTCGGCACAAGACGGTTGGGCATGTAGAATTCTTTCACAGTTAATGTGCTGAGCTTTCTTTACTTTAAAGCAATCTTGGTGGTGATTCTCATTGTTATCATGACACAGTTAGAAAGTATAAAGCCCAGTATGGTGGTGCACAACTATAATGCCAGCATTTGGGAGGCTGAGGCAGGAGGAGCATCATGAGTTTAAGATCAGCCTGGGCTACATAGGGAGACCCTGTCTCAAAAAAAAAAAAAGCCTCCGAATGCCCAGGGATGGTCCCAGGATTCATTTCCATGACAACAGCTGATAGGAAGTGAGATGGGAGATATATTACTCTCTCAAGAGATGTGGAGATGCTAAACTACAGTAGGGCTGTGCTGTGGTTAAATATTTAATAAACAAATGGGCCTCAGTTCACCTGCCTCTTATTTCTTATGTTCTGATGTTCTGCTTCCTATCATTAAAATGGGTTTAAACTTTTAGGATGGTTCTCAGACTTAAGTAGCGCTTTCTATCACGGGCAGTTGACAGTGTCTGGCATATAGAAAGCACTCCACAACTGTAGCTTTTCAATATCAATCCAATAATTGTTTGTACCATGTGTCAAGACCTGTGCTTGTTTTGGAAGTACAGAGAGGTCCATCTCTGCATCTTGCCTTTGGGATAGTCCCACAATACTTGGTAGAAAAACACACAGAAAAGTACTAGGGATTTAGTTAAGATATGGATGGTCTTAGTAATCACGCTTCTCCTGAGACACAGAACCAACAAGATATAGGCAGACAGATGATAGATAGGTAATAGATATGTAGGCAGAGATAGTTATTATAAGGTAGCAGCTCATACAATCAAGGAGGCTGAGAAATTTCATAAAATGTCATCCGGAGACCAAGAAGAGGAAGATTTAGTAGAGGTGTATTTTTCAGAATTTCACCCTAGAGAGATCCCTCTGGCAGCTGAGTGGAGACAGCCCGTGGGGTTTGTTGGAACAAGAAAGAAAATATCCCCAAGGAAGGGGCTGAAGCTTCAGTCACGAGCAAGGGCGTTGGGTCAACATGGAGGAAGAGTAGGACGAGTGGAAAGAGGGCAGCCGTTACCGCTCTCAATCCCACCTTGGTTTCTAGAAATTACCATGGTGACACTGAGCTTCAATTAGTTCAGGGAGGGGAGCTGCCTGAAAGACTAGTCTCTGTCTCCACGCACCTGCCCCTAATCACCTCTCTGAGCTTTACCTTGGGGATACCAAAGAATGTAGTGCAGAGGGAACCATTAGCAAGGGGTGCAGAGGGTGGGGGACTTCAGAAAGCAGAAGGTGACTGATGAGTGAGATGGAGACAGGGCTGCTGGGTGGGGGAAATGCTGACCAATGCTGGTGGTCAGAGGCTGGGCCTTCACTCCTGCAGTGTGTGTGTGGACCAAGGTCATCTCCCTCTCCCCAAGACTCTAGCTGTGTTTACACTGATTTCTTGCATTTACCTTTATTTTGTCACAAGATAAATTAGTGATAACTTCTCCTTCTTTATTTTTCTTTTGTCTTTGGAGGAAGAAGAAAGGCAAGCAATTTTTTCCCTTTTGGGAGGAAGCAAGTGAGGCACCTTGAGGAGGCAATTTCAGGGGCCACCAAAGACTTCGGGAAAAAATAATGTTGAGTGCATATTTTCCATTAAAAACATTTATTTTATAGATATTTATGGGGTGTAGGGTGGTAGTTTGATACATACAAAATTATAATTCATTTTAAAAACACCATAATGAACAAAATATCAACATTTTACACAGAGAGGGTGCTGTGTGTAGCACTTTCTGGACCTGGCATCCTCCGTGTGGCCCTGACTCAGGGGCCTAGAAAATGCCCCTTTTAAGAACCAATGTGTGGTGCTCGCTTCGGCAGCACATATACTAAAATTGGAACGATACAGAGAAGATTAGCATGGCCCCTACGCAAGGATGACACGCAAATTCGTGAAGCGTTCCATATTTTTAAAAAAAAGAACCAATGTGTATTCACTGAGTTCACTTCATTTAGTTGTTTCAAATTTATAAAACAATACTAAGTCAAGAAAATATGGCTTATTTTATTTTCACAATGCATTGCCATTGGTCACCTAAATGACAGCAAGTTTGCTTTTTTGTTTTCTGATGACTATAAGTAACTGCAGCGCCTTTTGTGGGGTAGAGCTCAGAGGCCGCCTTTGCATCAGCTCTTTCACCTTCACACAATCCGGGTCTTACTTATCTCCCGTCATATTCCAAATTGCCTGCAGAACTACGATTCACTACAGCTGTATCCTAGAACTTGTGCTGGCCCCTTCAAACTTCCCTTGTCTGTGACAACTTAGGGGAGGTACCATCTGCCACTCCTCCACATTTAATTAAATAAATAAATAAATTAATTAATTTAGTCTTTTTGAGAGAGGGTCTCGCTATGCAATTCAGGCTGGCCTTGAGCTCACTTTGTAGCCCAGGCTGGTCTCGAACTCACCACCATTCTCCTGCCTCAGCCTCCCGAGTGCTGGGATTACAGGTGTGTGCCACCATGCCCGGCCTATCCTTCACATTTTAGAGGAAAGGCAGAGGATGCCCGCAAGCATTGTTAGTTACCTATGGTGGGAAGTCTAATCTAGTATAACCAAATAATCTGGCTTTCAAAGGGGCCAGGAATTTGTTTTTCAGGGCTACAGACTGAAGCCAGGGCCTCAGGCATGCTAGCCAAGTGCTGTACAACCCCAACCCTGGGGCTCAGGAACTTTATTTTTTATGTATAATTTAATACCAGTTGAGCATCCCTAAAATCCAAAACTTTCTGAGCCCCTCAATTACACCACAAGTGGAAAATTCCATGTGACTTCATATAATGGATGGCAGCCAAAACACAGGTGCATTAAAAATGTTGCACGGGGACCGGGGATTTAGCTCAGTGGCACAGCACCTGCCTGGCAAGCACAAGGTCGTGAGTTCGATTCCCAGTACCGGACCAAAAAAAAAAAAGTTGCATGGAGTTACTTTCCATGCATATAAACTGTAAGGAACACATAAAGCATAGATGAATTTCATGTTTAGACTTGGCTTCTATTCCTCAAGATATCTTATTATGTATGTGTACATGTTCCAAGACCTGAAAAAAACCTCTGAAATCTGAACACTTCTGCTCCCAGGGATTTGGAATTATAGATAGTCAACCTATATTTTAAAATGATGCTTTTCTCCCTATTAATGCACCTTCTATACACACAGAAGCCTGGCATGGTGCTGCTTGCCTGTGATCCCTGATATTGGGTAGTGGGGAGACTGAGGCAGGAGGATCATGAACTCAAGTCCAGCCCGGGAAACTTATCAAGACCTTACCTCAAAAGTGAAAAATGTTTTAAAAGGCTGGAGATGTAGCTCAGTAGTAGATCACTTGCCTAGCATGTGTAAAGCTCTGGCTTCAATTCTGAATACTGAAAACAATAGCAAAACAAGCAAACAAATCACAGAAACACAACTGTCAGTTTGGCTGAGCTCACAAAGTGTCTTCCCAATTCTCTCACCCTGGATGTTTCTTCCCTACAAAATCTTCTGGGTTGATTTTGTTGGTTCTAGCTCAAGTTTGTCTCTTGCCCAAATCTCTTTCTGGAGCAGACTGGCTTTCCCTCCTCACAGCCCCTGAGAAACATGTGCTTATGATCTCTAGCTCAACTCAAAGAACAGGTTCCATGCTAGCTGCAACTGCAAGGGAGGGATTTTGGCTTACTTCATCTCTTTATAGCTCAGGTTTCTCATCTTCAAAACGGAACTAATAAGCCTACCTTCCTTGCAAAGTAAAATAATTCGTGCATTAAACATTTAAGACCTGTCATAAGTCATGCAGGAAATGCAAATCAAAATCCCAGTAAGGCTAGGGGAGTAGGTCAGGGGTACAGCACTTTCCCCTCATGTGGTAGCCCCTGGGTTTGATTCCCAGCAAGATGAAATTAAATTATATTGAATTAACTATAAAACACAACTAGGGTGACTATAATCAAAACGCGTTGGCAAGGATGTGGAGGAATCAGAGCACTGATATACTTCTGGAGGGAATATGACACGGGGCAGTCACTTTGGAACAATTATGGCAAGTTCTCAAATGATAAACAGAGCTACTGTAGGGCCCATCAGTTCAGCTTCTAGGAATATAGAGCAAGACACGAAGACATATGCCTACACAAATGTTTGTATGTGACTGTTTATAGCAGTATATTTCATAATAACCAAAAGGCAGAGACAATTCAAGTGTCCACCAACTGTCAAGGGGTTAGGCCACTGTCGAGTGGCCTGTCCAATCAATGGAATGGTATGCAGCCATGGAATGGATGGACCAAAGCACTGACATGTGTTACAACATGCATGAACCTTGACGACATGATGCTGAGTGGGAGAACCCAGGCACTGAAGGACAGATATATGTATGTAAAATGCCCACAAGATACAAATCCACAGAACAGAAAGCGTATTTGTGGTTGCTGTGGGCCAAGGAGAAGGGCAGTGATGATGGAAATGTTCAGAGTCTCTTTTTCAGGTAAGGAAAATGTTCTAAACTGGCCGTGCTGAAGAGTGCACAAAACTTTAAATGGGTGAGTTACATGACATGAGAATTATACCTTAATAAAGGTTCAAAAAGGACCATAGCAAATGGTAAATACTCAAAAGTTTGGGAGTGCTGAGCAGTCTAAATATTAGGGAGGCACAGAGAGAGAGAGAGACAGACAGAGATAGAGACAGACAGAGAGACAGACAGAGAGAGAGATGGAGAGAGAGAGAGAAAGAGAGAGAGACAGACAGACAGACAAACAGGATGGAGTGAGGGAGAAAGATGCAAGTGAGAACTTCCCAACACAGTCCCTGTCAGAAAGCCAACCTCTTCAAGAGTTCTGCAGAGAGAGTTTGCTGAGGAAGGTCTTCTTTATGGCTACCTTCAGCTCCTTGTTCCTGAGGCTGAAGATGATGGGGCTGAGGAAGGGGGTGAGGACCGTGTAGGTGATGCCCATCAAGGTGTCCCCTTCCAGGGACTGGGGGCCCTTGGGCTTGAGGTAGATGACAGAGGCAAAGCCATAGTGCACAACCACCACCGTGAGGTGGGACACACATGTGGAGAAGGCTTTGTGCCGGCCCTCAGCTGACGGGATCCTCAAGATGGTAGACACAATGAAGGCATAGGACAGGAGGATGAGGAGGCAGCAGCCCAGGAGAGCTGTGATACACACCAGGCCCACACCCTTGGCCACCACCAATACATTTTTTCCACAGGCCAATTTCAACAGAGGTGGTACATGGCAGAAGAAATGGTGAATCTCATTGGGTCCACAGAAAGTGAGATGGAAAACGGCTGTTGTGACGACCATCCCCATGACTGATCCACCAATCCAGGACCAGGCCACGAGGCAGGCACAAGCACGTGGGCTCATGAGCACATTGTAGCGCAGGGGGTGGCAGATGGCCACGTAGCGGTCGTAGCCCATGACAGTGAGCAGGAAGGAGTGGGTGAAGCCAAATGTGAATGAGAAGAACATTTGGTTGGCACACGCAACCAAGGGGATGGAGTGGTGGGCGGAGAGCAGGTCAGCCAGCATGCGCGGGATGATGGCCAAGGTGTAGAGGATCTCAGAGATGGAGAGGGCACACAGGAAGAGGTACATGGGTGTGTGGAGGCTGCGCTCACTCCAGATGGTGGCCATGATGAGCAGGTTGCCCAGCAGGGTGAACAGGTACATCAGCAGGAAGAGCAGGAAGAACATCAGCTGAAGGTGGGGGAAGGCGGAGAATCCAAGGAGGATGAACTGAGACTGGAAGGTGTGGTTTAGCCCCAGCATGGCAGCCACACTTCCTGGAGGAGAGAGAGGAGAAACACCAGTATGTAAGACTACAGGAAGAGGCTCCTTTACCTGGGCCCGCTGTTGTTAATTCATATACAAAAGCCATTTATACAAGTATCCCTTTGTATTAACAATGGTTTGGTACTAGGATGCCCCCCAGAGAGTAAAATCCAGGGTGTTCAAATTCCTGTACAAAATAGTGCAGTATTTGCATAGAACCTATGCAAATCCTCCCATAGACTCTAATCTTGAGATGACATAAGAGTGCTTGATACAATATACATGGTAATATTTTACTGTATTGTTTAGAAAAGAATGATGAGAAGGAAGTCTATATATGTTCAGTACAGGCACAAGAATCGTAAGGCTGTATTGGCTACACTTCTGGTTCATGGAACCCATGGATCCAGGGAGCCAACAGTAATAATGTGTTGAGGTTTAAACAAGAGGTTTTGTCTTATGTTCCTGACATTATGTAAGAACTCAATAAATAGTAATACTGAGAATTCTTATTATTACTATTTTCAAATCTCAGTGGTAGGATCTTGGCATTTCTATTCAACTGTTCCGGGGTTAAATTTTCACTTCTGAGCTATGTGACCTTGGGATTGTTCCTGAATCTTCGTAACTCTTAGTTTTCTCTTTTCTAAAAGGAAGTTGATAAAAAGACACTTATGGGGTGGTTTTCAGGGTTAAATAAAACTGTGTTCATAATGTACCAACCAGAGGGCCAGGAATAAACACTTACAAGATTAAAGACAAAGATGGGTGGTCAGAAACAGATTTTTTTATATTATAGCAACCTAGGGATATATCACTTCAATGGTAAGTTTAATCCATGTGCTTTTTTTGGTAAAGTACTTTTTTTGGGAATCAAGACTGGAATCTTAATGATCTAGCTAGTATAAGTAAGTAAATATAGCTATACTTATATATAGTTATATATACATATATGTTTATATGTATGTATACATATATGCATATATGCTTATATATGTATATGTATCTTATATTAAGTATACATAAACACACACAGGTACACACTTTTCACCACACCAAGAAACAAACACTATTTAAGAACATGGAACTGTCACTAAAAGGGCTTTTTGTCTGGCGTGGTTGCACACGCTTGTAATCCCAACACTTAGGAGGTTGAGGCAGGAGGATTGCAGCAAGTTCCTGGCCAGCCGAAGCTACACAGTGAGTTCAAGTCTAGCCAGAACTATGTAGTAAGACTCTGTCTCAAAAAAAAAAAAAAAAAAACAAACTTGCAATGATCCTCCCACCTCAGCCTCCTGAGTGCTAGGATTATAGACCTATGCCACCACACCCAGCTTGCTGAGAGTTTGAGGTCTGCCTGGGATACATAGTGGTTTCAAGGCCAGCCTGAACTACATAGGGGGACCCTGTTTCAAAAAACCAAAACATAAAAATAAAAAAGATTTGGTGTTAGGACATAAAAGAAATATATATTCATATTTATTTGAGCATAAATATAGTTGATTCATGTAATATTGCCACAATCTTTAACAATCCTTGGGAGGGTAAAGCAGAATTAAAATGCTTTGAACTAGAGTTGGGAATATATCTCAGTGGTAGCGCACTTGCCTTGCCCATGTGAGGTCCTGGGTTCCATCCCCAGCGTGGTAAGAAAAAGGGAAAAAGAAAGAAGTGTTATTTTTACACTAATAATAAATGACAATGGAAAGTTGAACTAACAGCTAAATGAAATGGACTGTATCCTTGAATATAAAAAGAATATTAGTAGAAAACCTGACAAAATTTAAGTAAGACAGTTTGCATAAAAGCGTTGTGTCATTGTTAATTTCTTGGTAATTGCAAAAGGGCTATGTGTCATGCTACCAAGAAGGGAAGTTAGGTAAAGGAACTACAAGAATTTTCTGTATTATATTTGCAAGGCTTTTTTTGTAAGTTCAAAATTACCTCAAAATAAAAAATGTAAAATACATTCAGGTTCTACACAAAGTAGCAGCTAAATCAATCAAGCATCTAGTAGTTAATTTAACCCACAGCACAGAAGACTTCTATAGAGCTCGAAAGAGAAAACATAGCAGGTAGTTTAAAGAAATGGGTGCAACGGAACTCAATAAATAAAACGCAAAAGAAGGAAGATGTTAATTTTTTCCCTAAAGTTAATCTGTAAATTCATTAAAAATACAGTGGATTTTTTTTTTCTGGAAGGAAGATGATATACTTACTGTTGTAGTCAGGATTTACAAGGGAAACTATTAAATACAGAACATATAATATAAAGGATTATTTTATAATAGTCATCCTAAGAATCATATACAAAGAGTGCAGGAAATCTGTGCACACACTAAAGACTGAAAGAATCCAGCTGAGGGCCTGGATCCCACGGCAATGTCCTGCATGAGTCCAGTTTAAGACTTAGAGCTCATAACAATGCCCCCCAGAAGTCCAACCAGAGCCTAGAGCTCACAACAATGTCTCATGCAGGCCTATTTTACGGATCTGTGCTGGGAAGCCCCAAAGGTCAGTGGTAGGAGCTAGAAAGTCTGTGCCAGTGGGATGAAGGATCTGTGTCAGCAAGCTGAGGGATCTGTATTGGAACCAGGAAGTGATGCTCAAAGTAAGGACCAGAGCTCCCCAAAAAGTGCCACAGCCATCCTCAGCAACAATGAGGTCCTGAGCTCCTCCAGTGATGAGAACAGCTGAGTTCACATCAGGAAAGCCAGCATGACAAGCTTCTCCAGGCTGAACAGTGCACCATCTTCCCCTCCAGAGCCAGGAAGCGATGCTCAAAGTAAGAACCAGAGCTCTCCCAAAGTGAACCATAGCCATTCTGAGTGACAACAAGGTCCTGTGTTCCTTCAGTGCTCAGAACAACCAATTTCGTATCAGGAAAGCCAGCATAACAAGCTACTCTAGGAGAACCAACAGCTACCTAACAGCACCGAGATTTCTTCCTCTCCTGTTCTGCCTCTTCTACTGCCAGCAACAATCCTCAGGTGGGCTTCCCACACCCAGCACCACGCTGGTTCAGTTCAGCTGGGTGTTACAAGTTGACCACCAGTTGTCAATCCACCACACCTATTATAAAATGTCCATGACAGAATAAAGATCCATGCATAACAAAGCTAACCTTGAAAATGATGAGGGAAAGGAGCAGGGATAGGAGAACTGTTTTCTCAGACTGTGACTGCCCTGAAAGCCTTGACAATAAAGCATTGGGGGCCAAGTGCAAGGAGAAACAGACCAGTGGTTCAGAATGGAGACCTCTGACACGGAGACATGTGCAACTAGTTAAGGTCACAGAACAAATCAGTAGGCAAAGGAAGGATTGTGTAGGGGATGCTGTTGGAAAAAGCATATTTCTATGCAAATAAAAACAAAGCTGGAGTTCTCATGATACCACATTTGAAAAGAGAATCAAGATGGATTAAAAACTAACCATGGAAGAGAAAAAGTTACTAAAAGAAATATAGGATGATCTTATGACTGAAGAATAGAAAGGTAAATCTTTAAATGCAAAATGGAACATTAAAAAATAAAAGCACAAACCATAAAATGATTAAAATGATGAATTCCACTAAGTAAACCTCATGGATAAACTAGGGTCGCACAGGAACTGTATGTCCAAGGGCTTTGTGTTGGCTGAACAGTGTCCCCGTAGAATTCATGTCTACCTAGAATTTGACTTTATTTGGAAATAGAAGAAGGGACTCAGCAGATTTAATCAGAATAGCAGAGCCCTGCTGATAGCTTGGTTTATGAATTCCAGCCTTCAGAGCGGTGAGAGTACATTTCTCTTGTTTTAATGCAGTCACACAATGCAGGCAGAAGCACACACAACCGATGCGTGAACACACACGTGCATGATGACTCAGGCTTGCCCTTCTGTCCCAGAAATGCCTGGCCTCCAACCCAGCCTGTGGAACACTCCCGGCCCCGGAATTAACCCTAGAGACCATGACCAGCATAGAAACAGGGGCAGCTGTGAGCAGTAGATGGGATCAGTGAGTGACCAGGAGCCAGGTGACTGGAGCATGGACTCCACTCTCTTCTCTTGTCCCCACCTCAGGGCTTCCCTCTGCTCCAGTTTTCTCTGATCCTCATACCTTCTGCTTTTCAGTGTCCGCATTTGCCTGTTCATCCTAGAAAATGGCCCTGGAAACAAGACTCCACTTATTTTCCTTGGAGACCTTTGGGGATGCTGTGCACCCCAGCTGGGGGTGACCTTGAGTGCAGAGGACTAGGGACACGATGGGAGGGGCAGGAGCTTTATCTCTGCAGGTGTCTTCCCCAGAGGCAGCTTCCCAGATGCCTCTCCACTGAGCCTGTTTGGGGATGAAGAATGCACAGTCTGGAAGTCCAAGGAGTATTCTGAAACATACTACCTTCCTTCCTGTATCTATCTATCTATCTATCTATCTATCTATCTATCATCAATTTATCTATCATCATCTATCATCATCTCTATCATCAATCATGAATCTTTCCTGTATCTATCTATCTATCTATCTATCTATCTATCTATCTATCATCAGTCTATTTATCTATCATCATCTATCATCATCTCTATCATCAATCATGAATCTATCATCTATCATCAATCATCTATCATCTATTTATGAATCATCTACTTCTCATCTATCTATCAATCATCTATTTATCATCTATCTGTCACCTATTTATCAATCATTTATCTATTATCTATCTATCTAATCTGTATCTATCTATCTATCTATCATCTATCTATCTATCTATCTATCTATCTATCTATCTATCTATCATCTATGTATATTCTCTTTTTCTCCCCTTTTCCTTACTGCCTAACCTCCTCTCTCCTTTTCTCTTTCTCTTTTCCCCTCTCCTTTCCCTCTTTCCTTCCTCCCTTCCTTCCCCCTTTGCCTGTGATGCCCTTCCTCTCACTATACTCTCTCGTATGCCCCATTTCCATCCTTCTTTTAGGTCTCTGGTTAAATGTCCCTTTTCCGTGTAAATCTCATCATCAGTCT